TATTTTATTCAACTCAATCAAAGACCTTTATGAACGTATGAACAAAGAGTTTAAAAGATTAAATTTATGGTTGAAACTAAATAAGTTATCACTAAATACACAAAAAACAAAATACATATTGTTTCATTCCAAAAAACAAAAAAAAATTATACCAACTACCCTTCCCTCACTAAAAATAGATAAGGTAAATATTGAAAGAACAGAAACAACTAAATTTCTTGGGATACTAATTAACGAAAATATATCTTGGAGAGCCCATATAAGTTCAATTAACAGCAAAATTTCAAAAAATATTGGCATACTCTGCAAAGTTAAACCTATGTTATCCCAACATAATCTTAAATCGCTTTATTTTTCTTACATCCAAAGTTATCTTACATACACTAATATTACATGGGCAAGTACACACAAATCCAAATTGAGTACTATTTACATAAGTCAATAACATGCATCAAGATTAGTTTATAATAAAGATAAACTGACCCATGCTGAACCCTTACTAAAAACCTTGAATGCACTAAATGTTTACCAAATCAACATCTACCAAAATGTTCTATTTATGCTTAAATACAAAATGGACTAGTCCCATCGCATTTCTTAGATAATTTCAAGTAAACTCTAACAGGTATATGACAAGAGCAACAGACAACTTCACACTGCCCAAAAGAACAACAAAGTGCTCAGGGTTTTCTATTTCCTATCGGGGTCCGTACCTATATAACAAAATCATATCCAAAAATATAGAACTTAAAGTATTAAATAATGCTGCCAACTTGAAAAATAAATTAAAATACCTCATACTTAATACCAACAATTATATTGACATGTATTAAACTTAACATTAAAATTTATATTAAAATATTTATTTGTATCACTGATTGTATATTGTTTAACCACTTTTGACTATATATATAAATAAAATAGACTTTATTTAACCTTTTAAAGAGGTACTCGATGATAAGTCTTCATAGAATTGTACGAGTTTTCCTTTACAACAACATGTATATATCTGAAGTACCAAAAAAATTCTTGTCTTTTTTTTTTCTTTTTTTAGTTTTATTCTTTTATTTTTTTAAAATACTGGTAACATTTATGATACGAAACACAATTAATTTACGCTATACTTAGATATACTTGTTAAACCAATTTTTATTATGCTATGTTATACGTGGTATTATTATCTTATACTTTTACGTGAAATTATATTATGTCATGTTGTTATAACGTAACAATGTGTAAATTTATTAAAGTTGTAAAAAAAATTAAAAAAAAAAAAAAAAAAGATATATAATTAAACTACAGACATATACAAATATTAAAACATGTAATTTTAAAAATATTTAATATGACAAAAAAATTCGGGAATAGGCACTTTTTTTTGAACACAAATTCTGTAAAGGTCGAGTTTCCAGAAAAAATAAGGAAAATACCTAATTCAGCTCGAACTCATGACAAAAACCGTAAAGGTGTATGCCTATTGTGTTTAAAAAAGGCCAATAGATTGCTGACAACATTTTTGATTGGCAAAATCCAAAAAATATATAGCCGACCAATTGACTTTGATGACTTTAGAATTCCTCAAGGTTTGTGTGACCCATGCAGAACTGCTTTAAGAAAACGTGATGAGGGGCAACAAGTGGAACTACCTCAACTATTTTAGTTTGAAACAATAATTGTTAGGCCCCAAACAAGAGGACAGCAATGCAACTGCCTGATTGGAATTAAAGGAAAAACACCCACTAGAGATGGAAAAAAATGAAGAACAAAGTTCGGATAGGCGTTGCTCAAAATGTCTTTCTCTAATTGGTAGGGGTCTACCTCATCCAAACTCTACTGCTCAGTTTCGTGAAAATTTACGAATTTTGGTAGCAGGTGATTGCACAGTTGCAGAAAAAATTGCATCATCAGTAATTGAAAATAAGGAATAATCTCCTCATGGAACAGTTTGTATTGCCCAAGCCAAGGGGGGAAAAGTTTTGCCAATAACTCCAGGTAATGTACCTCAAAAACGTTTTCAAATTTAGGTTTTGGAAATAATTTTAAATAGGCTTTGTGTATTTAGAGGACCATCAAGTTCAAGGCAACTTTTCAAGGATCATCTAGTTGTCTCAGCAAAAGATCTTGCTCAAATTTAAATAAATACAGACTTATCAAACACTGTGATTGAAAAGTTGACATCTACAGTGAATCATATTACTGTTGGAAAAGTCTTTGAGCCAAATATTCTTAAGAAGTTTCAAGAACTTAGAAAAAGCTTGGGAGATAATTTCACAACACATCATCAAACTTGGAATAGATGGTGGTGGAGGATTTTTAAAAGTTTGCTTGGGTGTTTCTGCCAAAGAACCGGAATATGGATAATGTTCACCTCCCAACAAACGTCTTCTGACATCTCAAGCCTCTAAAGATTCTGGATTCAAAAAGCAACTTCTCGTGGCTACATTACAGACGGAGTTCAAGAAAACTACACAAATTTTAAACTCATTCTCTCACTTCTTGCCAATAAAGATAACAATTTTGTTATCTCTTGTGATATGAAGTTGGCAAACATCAATTGTGGCTTACAAGCACATTCTTCTTCCCATCCCAGCACTTGGTGCAATGCAGATAGTTCAAACCTTTCAAATTTTGGGACACTTCGAACCTTTATTTCTTTAAAGCAGTCTTTCAATGAGTTTACAGCAGCTGGCTCAAACACAAAAAATGCCAAGAAGTTTGGAAATGTGGTTCATGAACCAATAATCTCACTTGGTGATTCTGCCTTTGTTTTTGTGGACTTCAACAGCAAGAATTTTCGATAAAATTAGTCATGTTGAAGAGAAAATTAAAGAAAATCCAAAAATTTCTTCTTGGAATTGAATTTACATGCAGTTTTGTTTCCAAATCTGAATTTTTTTTCTTGAATACTTATGTTTTGAAAACTTTTATTGGTTCATAGAAAAGTTTTATTTTTAAAGAATACTGTAAAAATGCAAAATTTTTGAATTCTGTCATTTCACATTTCGGTACAATAAATAATAAAATTCAACATTGTTTTTCTTTCTCGGACGTATCAGGATGATTTGATTTTTGGTATTTCTGGAATGCCCAGATCAAAAGCTTTCACAAGCATATGGCGGTTTCTCCGGGAACAGACTTGACACTTTACCTGGTTTCAGGAGGACGGTAAATACAGAAGTGATTGTTAAAAAGCTCAAAAACTATTTCCTCAATATGGTACAGTGGACCAGTTGTTTGCGACCCACCAAAAATGAGTGTTTTAAAATCATGTTTGTTGCATTCTAAAATCACATTTCATGTTATCTGCTTTTCTAGGTGCTTTATGATATGACTGTGTAGGTTTATCTTGGAGCACCTAAAATAACTAACAAAAAAAAAAAAAACTTAAATGTTAATGTAAACTAGCAAACTTAAATAGCAATAAATATTTGCATATTGTTTATATACCTCTAACTGTTTTGTTCTAATTGTCCAAAATGTAAAAACTTGTATTTTTTATTAATGGTGAGCCAGCTTAACATTAAAACCGTAAAACTAAGACTTTACGTACAATTTTTTTTTTTTTACATGTTAAAATTTATTTAGACTTATGTAGGTCCCATAAAGAGGATATCAGTAGAGATTTTTCCTTTTTTTTTTGGAACACCCTACTTACTATACATTGCATATTCAGATCTATATGGCACTATATATTCTAGCAGTGCCGTACCCAGACGTAATTCTGTATTGTTTGACCGGTCAGGGCGCCCAAACTAACGCGCTCAAATAAATAAAATTTTCAAAAATTAATTTAATATAAATAAACACCGCATAAGCAATATCAAGAACAATATTTTAAATGATTATAGGTAAAATTTAAATATTTTTAAAGTTTATAGGTAAAATTGTCATTTTGTATGTAAAATACCTACTTTATAACGCTTCATAACTATATATTTATAACTTCATCAACTCACCGGAAGGGGACAAGTATTTGGAATGGGGCCCCAAGTTTTTATTTTGAAAGACCTTATTTTTTTGACCAGTAGCGCCCAAATTATCTCTGGGTACAGTACGGTCTAGAGATTTTAGTTTTTAAAAAGTAGAAAAAAGGGAAAACAAAAAAGTTACCTCGTATTAGTTTTCTTTCTTATTTAAATAGTCCCAGTTTAAAATATTAACTTCAGTCGATGAATTTACCGATTCTCGCGTACCCCGAAGGAAGGATGTTTCCACTCAGCATATATATAGATCGATAAGGAAACCAATTAAAGCTTTCTCGTAAAATACTTTTCAGCAACGAGATTTATAAGGGCTTTTAGAACTTCCTAATAACTTAATAAATAACCTGGAAGAAAACAACTAGAATACCACCACCACCACCACCATTATTACCACCACCAACAACATCATTAACGCCATCATCATCAATTTTTTTATTTTTTGTATACATGTTTATTTTACAACTACAAACTATTTACAAGTAACCAATCACAGATTGGCTGTTAAGATATACAAATATAAATATCATAAACATAAAGTTCAAAATATACAAAGTAAATCAAAAATATAGTTGCATACAACTCCGAGACATGATTAAATAGATATCAAATACAACAATATCATAACGTGAACGTAAAATATAATCCGAGAAATATATCTCTATATTTTTTCAAATAAAATAAAAAACTCAATAAATAAAAATAAATCTGCTGATTTTTTGGAGGAGTGTTAAGGTGTTTTTTTTTTTTTTTCTAGGGTCATTTTTTTGGGTCATTTGGGTCATTAGATATTGAAAAATGTGAGACTAGAACAGAAGTTTTTAAAAAAAAACTTTAAAAATTTTTATTTTAACTACAAATTTTAAAAAACATTGATAAAAATAAAATTATCAAAAGCTCAATAAATCAAAAACTTTTTTTCTAAATCTTTTGTCTGAATGATTTGATCTTCTGCAGTTTTAACTCTTTTAAACTTACGTAAATACTTCGTTAATAGTTTTTTGCGTATATTTACAGTAAACATCATAAAATAGCAACATAATTTATGAAATAAAAATTTCATTTCATTTTTAAACAAATTTTATATTTAAACACAAAGCACAAACAAAATGGCGTTACACTCCATAACAATCTTATTAATAAAACTTTTTTATATCTCTGACGTAATTTTGTATCGTCATGAAGACGGTTGGGACTATAAAGAATGTCTTCCAGTGCAAGAAAAATGTGAATATTGGCTTGTCATTCAAGAAAAACTGACAATGATTTTTCATAAAGATTTAGTTTATGCAGAGAATGGAAAACTATACTTATATAATGAAAGTCCGTCAAACTTTACAACAGAGGTGCAGTTTCTTACCATGAGATTTAATTCATATGCAATTTATATAAAACAAAGTGTGTATTTATATAAATAATTTTTGAGTTTTAAAGAATTTAAAATTTTTTGGTCACAACTAATTATGTTATGTAAAAAAAGTGTTAAATTTTTAGGTGCCAATTGAGGAAGTAATCACAGCAGATGGTGTTAACCGCATGATTGAAGCAGTAAACGGCACTCTTCCTGGGCCTCCTATTGTTGTATACGAGGGTCAAACAGTAATCGTTCACATTAGAAATACTCTTTTGAGTAATTCAGCTACAATTCACTTTCATGGGCTTCATCAAAAAGATACGTCATATTTTGATGGTATGCCGTACGTCACGCAATGTCCAATAGCTGCTGGACAAACATTCACCCACAGATTTAAGGTCTGGCAAATATATTAAGGGTTAAGTTCTGCATTTTAAATTCTTTGACTTGTAACAAATATTTTAATTTCAATAAATATTATAGGCAGAGCCAAAAGGAACATTTTGGTACCATTCACACATTGGATCCCAAAGAACAAACGGTGTATACGGCGCTTTTATCGTTAAAGAAAGGCATTCTGCTGGAGTTATTCCTCCGACAGATATGATTATGACTGTTGGAGATTGGCATCATGAAAGCAGCGATGAGGTGATTTTTAGTAAAATATTAAAACAAATTACTACATTAATTTTTTATATTTTTTAGGTAAAGTCCCAGTGGGCACCCGACGTCAATCCGACGTCGGATTTACGTACGATTTTCATCAGCGATGTCAAAAGACCTATTCCGACGTTGTTCCGATGTCAGTAAAATGACGTCGGGCGATGTCTTTATCTCAACATCCCCTGACGTCGTTTCGATGTATTTTGACGTTGTTCCGACTTCTTATAAAAGACGTCCAAAAAACGTCGCAGTACTGACATCGATCCAACGTCGATAAAAAGACGTCGGGCAACGTCATAATATTAACGTACTCCGATGTCTTTTGACGTCTTCCGACGTCAATCCAACGTCCTTAAAACGACGTCGGAACAACGTCGTAAGACATCGCTGATGAAAATTTAATCCAAACCCAACAATATGTGTGCAATTGCGCTCTTCAATAAATATGTGAACTAAGCGTGTTTTTTATTAATGGAAAGAAGTTTGAATAATGGTTGATAAAACATCATGAGGTTTTGTATGATGCACTAGCATAGTTTTTTAACTATTAACATTTTCGAGTATACATTTTTATAATATATAACTATTCGTTTTAATATTTATATAATATTTAAACAAAATTATTTCTTATCAAAGTAATAATTCCCAAATAGCTACAAGTATACATTACTAAATTAAACACATAAGGTAATATGTTTCTGTGGTGTAGCGGTAAGCGCGTAGGATTTAGTATCTAATAGATCGAGTTTCGATTCCTGCATAAGGCGACGTTTTTTAGTTTTCAAAAAACACGTTGGATTTACATCGGAATGCCGACGTCGCGCGATGTCAGTTTATCCGACGTCAAATAACATTTCCATTTCCAACGTAAACCCAACGTCGATCCGACGTCGAGATCCGACGTCGCTCGACGTTCGTTCGACGTCGAAATGCCCACTGGGGTAAGACAATCTCGTCAGGTTTTACTTTTACGTAATGAATTTGCAATAAAACAAAAAACTAAATCTTTTTGAAAAAAACAACATTTTTTTATTCCTGCAGTATCTAGTTCGTTGATGTATTTGATAAAACAAAATTTTAAATTACTTTCGCGTATAAATAGATTTTTTCATAATCAAGTAACTAAGGGTAAATTCAATGATAGAGTATTTTTTGGTTAAATTAGTTGTACCGACAAATTCATACCACAATTCCTAAATTTAAAAGTAAGAGTCTCAATTTACAAGTAATAAGTCTAGTCTCTTAAAAACAAGGTAATAGAAATTATTTAAAAAAGAGCGTAATTAAAAATTTTTTTCTAATCTAGACAAGGTTTATGGTAAAAACAATTTAAAATGGAGAAAAAAACTTTGATATAAAACTCCATCTATTGTGGTAGTAGCAGGAAGTATTCTTTAGATAGGAAGCATTTAGATAAAAAAATTCAATTTTATAAAATTACTTTAAATCAGTATCCTAATCATTAAAACAACTGAGTAGTTTTTTGTATTAAAAGGTTATCTTCTAGTTTATTTTTTTTTGATTTTCAGTTATATACCTATCTATCTTTTTTAGTTATGCACCTAAAAATCACATTAAAAAAAAGATAAATAGTATTAATAACGTCCGCGTAACTTTTACAAATTATACAATTTATTCATTTTATTAAATGTTTAATAAGAAAGCATAAGAAAATTGCATATATTTTAATCAACAACAAAAACATACATATATTCATTTTTGATCGTTATAATAAGTTTTATATTCTTATATTTATGATTGAAATTAATCTTTTTATTTAATATTTTGTCTAACAATGATACTCAAACAAATGCGTTTGCAGAATACCCAGGACGTTTACAGAAAATTTTTTGGGTAAGTCCAAATTAATTAACCCCCCCCCCCACCCCCTCAACAATTGATTGGGGGGGGGGGGAGGAGGATAGAGTATGCATCCCCCCCCCTCCCCCACCAGAATCTGAAAGTCCTCAAATATCTTAGAAATGGAGGACCTTTTTTTTAAGGAGACATTAATGTGATACAAATCACAAAATTTTTCAAAATCAAACTTCTACCTCTTCACCCCTGAAAAAAATTTCTGCACCCGTCAATGCTCCCCCCTTCCTTTTTTTTATTAGTTTTGACCAAATTGAGTGTATTTTATAAAAATGTTTTAATAATTCTTTAAGCTGAAAGTATAATTTTTTCAAATTAAAAAATAATTAAACAATTTGTAATATAATATATATAGGTTATAATTTTTTAAATACAAGATTTTGCTGTGTAAATTTTTATATACATGATTTTGTATGCAGACATGTATACTTTTATTATATTTGAAATTTAGTTAAAACACCACTCATAAATATTTATATCAAACTTATTAAAAGCTTGTTTACTATCTACAACAACTCTGAGTAGAAAGCTAAACTAAGCCATTTAGACTTTACCTACCATTTTGATTTGCAACTTTTTCTTACTATTCTCTTTTAACCTTTTAATCGCCTCAGAAAAGAAAAGGTTTGTTTTACTTGTTGCTTGTAATGTTTTACTTGTTGCTTGTAATGTTTTACTTGTTGCTTGTAATGTTTTACTTAATGCTTGTAATGTTTTACTTGTTGCTTGTAATGTTTTACTTGTTGCTTGTAATGTTTTACTTGTTGCTTGTAATGTTTTACTGGTTGCTTGTAATGTTTTACTTGTTGCTTGTAATGTTTTATGAGATTGGAGCTATTATAAGTTTTAGTATTATGAGATTGAATTTTTGAAATCCAGTTAAGTGAAATTCAACTAAATTTCAAACACGTCAAACTCATGTAATAAAGCTTTAGGTTTGGCAATAATAAATAAGATTAGTTAAAGCCTTTGGTTAAATAAATGACACTTACAGATATGAAGTGGGCTTTCAAACAAGCATAAGAAGAACACTAAATTTCTGCAATTATTTTTAGAAGAAACTAAAGATTAGAACGAAGAAATATAAAAAATCATTATTACTTGATTTTACATTCGTTTAATTAGGAGTTATATAAAAAAACATGTCTTGTTAAGCTATACTTTTATTATATTTGAATTTTTGCACAGTGCAAAAGCAAAATCAAAATTTGTAATTAACTTCAGTACAAGAAGTAGTAGCAGAGGTTGCACGATTAAATGTTTTATTGATATTCAAAACTAAATAAACAAATTTTTTTTTCTGTCTATATTGGAATTTTTAGTACTAAATAAACGTAATGATTATGTAGAAAAGGGCAAAAAAATTTAATTATATATTATTCTTTTATAACTTAAGAAATTTCTTTGAAAACATAGGAGATAGTAATTTTCATAATTCTCATGAAGGATAAACAATTTGGCTAAATAATAATTTATACTTAATAAGTCTAAAATCTGGGTATAAACATTCTAATTTTTTGCCGCAAATGCTTGATTATCAAAGAAAAGCAAGAAACAAAGAATAATTTTTATCGATGCAATTATAAATAGCATTTCTTATAATAACTCTTTGACTTTCTTTCTTGTATTTAAAGGATAACGTGATATCAAAAGTTCTAGACAATTAACATAATATTTAGTTACCTAACTTTAAAGGAAATGATATTTTTCTCCCGCGGACTTTTTCTTTGAAATGCTATATAAAGTTGTGAATTAAGCGACATTTTGAACTAATTAACGCCCATATTTTAGGTTTAATAAAATTTAATAATTTAATAAACTTAATAAAACAGGGTGTATATTAAAAGGAAAGTCCGAATTATATTTTCCATATTTAAAACTTTTTCTCTCTCTATTTAGGGGTCGTCCATAAACTTGGGAAAGGGGGTTGTTGGTTTTGTGATGACTCAATACTTGCTACTTAAGTATTACAATTTTGTAAAAGGAGGGGGGCGGGGTTGGTCAAAAAGGGTCAAAAATTTTGTGACGTAATTTATGGACGACCCCCTATCATTTAAAATCAAGTTAATAAAATGATACGCAGTCTAGTGTAATAAAACTTAGGGTATCCATTGGTATATTTTAACGTATACTTGTTGTTACTAACTAATTTTGCCTCCCGATGATAATTAAACAATAAAGCTTGATAAAAATTAAAATAACTAAAATAATCATTTTGATTTTTTTAATGAAAAAAAATATTTAAAGAATAAAGTTTTTTTTAAAAGCAATTTAAAAAAGTTATTCAAGTTTTTAATTAAAATTAGTTTAAAAAAAGTTAGTTTAACTTTTATCAAAGTATTGTAATTATTTTTTTTGTTGTTAATAATCGCAAAATTATGAAACCGAAATATTATTATGCTTTCCGGTTTTTGATTTTTTTCAAACCGTTTCACATAATTAGCCGGCTAATTTCGGCAAAATGCACGGCGCTGTGCATAATTTGTTAAGTTATTGCTGTACTTTGGTTTTAATAATTATATATAGTAAATATTTTTTTTCAATAATGTAATCAAGTTGAAAAGCTTTTATTTAATTTTTTTGGGTACGTCTAACGACGCAGCAGACATTCCCTAAACGCCTCCCCCCCCTGCAGAATACCGACAAAAAAATGATACTTAAACACTTACATTGATATACTGATAAAAAAAAAAAGATACGTTACTGCGTTACATGTACGTTAATATACGTACTTACAATGTGATTTGGGTAAGAAAATTTTTTTAGTGGAACTTAAACTAATAAACAATTTTTAAAGTCCTAACAAGAAAAGAGATATTCATAAGTCAGGGGCGGATCTAGGTTTTTTATTGACTGTAGTTAAAACCCCATAAATATTTTTTTCGTATAAAAAAAAAAAAAAGCTCTCGCTTTTCACATTTGCTGACAATACTAAGTCCAAGTTTGTCGACTGTACTATGTGGTCTACCTACTCAATGCAACTAAGGCACTCAGCGTATTTAAAGAGAGATATAAACGATTTGCATTTCTTAAAAAAAAAATTTTAAAAAGTAGAACTTAAGCTTCTCTTATATAATTTATTATTTTTTTTTTATAAATCTTTTTTTAAC